GGTATAGCCTCATTAACATAAGAAACCAAAAACTTAAAAAATATAACCAGTTCCCACAGAATCAGTTCTGACCCATGTGTAACCCCATATATACAGAGTAGAACTGTACTACATAAACTCAAGGCTGTGACCTTTCAGAAGGACAGGCCATTCTTCCCATGGTCCCCTGCATGAGTTCAAACCACCAACCTTTCAGCCATTTGTGCCACCCAGGAACTCACCCATATTAGGGGAAAAAAAATAAAAAGCCCAATTTCCAAACAGGGTTACATCTCCAGCTACAAGGCCTAGAAATTGAACACATACTTTTGGGGGAAATCGTTCAAACCATAATAGCAACTAATTGGTACAGCAAGGACTGAGGTTCATTTTTGCCTCATTATAAGATCTGTTTCTCCGGTACCACAGAGCCCCCTAAGAGTTGTTGTTGTTGTTATTAAGTGCCTTTGAGTCACTTCTGACTCATGGTGACCCTATATAGGGTTTCCAAGTAGTAGCTGGTGAGCTTGAACTGCCAACCTTGTGGTTCAAACTGACCTTGCAGTCCAGCGCATTAACCCAGAGCGCCACACCAGGACTGTCACAATTCAAATTCTTACTCTTTTCAAATCCTGAGAGCCTACTGAAGAAAGAGCACACCAAATAGCGCTCAGGTCAAATTAGAGTCCTGATGTAGCGCTGTGGGCTAATGCGTCAGGCTGCAAAGTTGTTTCAACTGCAAGGTCAGTGGTTCAAGCTCACCAGCTGCTCCTTGGAAACCCTATACAGGGTCACTATGGGTTGGAATCGACTCGACGGCACTTCACAACAAACCCTTCAGTATCTGAACTCTCTCTATCCACACATGCTGTCTATGCCCTCTACCATAACTCAGGAAAAGAGTAGATGACACCTATGAAAAAGCGAAAAGGAATGACCACCAAGAGTCAATATGACCTATTAAGTGCTGGTCAGATACTGCCTTAGGTGCTTTTGAGTCAATTCCAACTCCTAGCAACCCCATGTGATCGAGTCGAACTGCCCATGAAGCTTTCTAGGGATTACCGATTTACTGGAACAGACTGCTATTATCTGTGTCACAGCGGCCGGGTAGGTTCTAACTGCCAACTTTTCTGTCGGCAACCAAGCACTTAACCATCGCACCATTAAGTCTACTTAGTCAGATTGTTGTTAGTTAAGTGCAGTCAAATTGGTTCTGACTCATAGCGATCCAGTATGGGGTTTCCAAGGAGTGGCTGGAGGGTCTAGTCAGATTAGACTAATCTGATTTCTTCTCTTTGAGGGAGGGAATTGGGGGTGTTGAGCTACAGACTCATTAGACTGAGCCTCAGAAACTGCATATGATGTGATGAAGCTAAATTTCAGCACGACATCCTTTACATTTTGTTTTTCCTTCTAGTACTCTGTTTTTTTTAATTATGTACTATAGCATACCTACTGAACTGTGCAGGAAAGTGTATTGTAGAATGACTTATTAATTGTGCTTCACCTGGGTGAAGAATGAGTGCATTGCCAGCCCCTGGAAGTGCTCATGGCTCTTTCCTATCACACTCTGCTCCCTCCTGGAACTCACTACTATCCTAACGCTCTTTACTTCCGTGCCTTTTTTGTCATTTTCATTTTATCACCTGTGTATGCATATTTTCCATAAAAATGTAACAGGACTGTCTGGTTTGGTGGAAAGCCTTGCTTTACTGCAGGTGCTCTGAAAGCCTGAGGAAGTGATTTGGCAGCCAGCTGAGTTTCCCACTGATTTCATTTAGAGCACTAAACACATCAGTGAAGAGGCAGTTCACAGTCAGATGGCTGTGCGTATCCTATGAAGTTGCACAAGAAAGGAGGCACCTGTCTGCCAGAACATGGAGTGTAGTGAGTTTAACTGTCCGGCTGGTCGCTCTCCTGCTGAGGCCGCCCTTAGACTCCACTCCATAGGTCTGCTCACTCCCTCATCTGTAGCATAACTGTAGACCAGCCTGCAGTTATTAACAAGTGTTGACCTGGCAAGAGGAACATGTCCTCATAGAGCTGCTGACCGTATTCAAGAGACTACACGTATCTCTTTTACCATCATCGCCATGATTATTGCAAGAGCTCGCATTTATTATTTACTTCATGCCGGGCATTGTGCTAAGTGGTGTACGTGCATTCTCTTATTGAATCCTCATGAGTTATGAAGTGGGGGTGCTAGCAGTATCCTCATTTACAAATGACAGAACTGATGTTCAGGTCCATCATAACCTGTTAAAGGTCATGTGACTGCTAAGTGATGAAGGTGGGAAGATCCAGGGCTGATGTTGAATCCCACACTTACGGCCTCTATGTTGTACTGCCCATCATTTTACTCCGTTGAATAATTTAAATCAAAGAACTAAGTGTGTTCCATAGACACAGTTAGAAAATGTTAGTACCAGTGGACCCTAGTAGCCAGTTGTCAACAGACGAAGCACCAGGATATGTGTGTGTTTTAAAATACATTGCTTATTTCAACAGTAACTTTTGATAATGAATTAAGTCTGTCTCTCAATGCCACAACCTCAGACAAGTTCAGCAATAATCTATAGAGAGGTTCAGCTGTCCTGGAGGCTGTGAAAAGAGGGAAGTAAGTCAATAATGTGTATTCAGTTTCTGTGTTACTAAGTAGGCCAATCTTGGATAACAGGACCTCTGAAAACACAGCCCTGTGGAATTCAGTCATGTGTCGGGCCATTTGAGAAGGATGTTTTCCATCTCTCCCTTCCTTCTGCCCTTCTAAAACAAAATATAATCAAGGAGATTGGAAAGATAAGATTCATGTGATATCCATGATCAATAAGTTAGATGACAAGCTTCGTCATCCCTTCATTATACACCATAGGTAACTTGTACATTCTGTGGTCAAAACCTGATGAGCCTTTTGATGAGTATTAATTATTTTTGAAGCTTCAGTTCAAGCATTTCAATGCTTAAGCATGCTAAGCTCTTGGTGTCCATAAATGCTCATTAAATGAGCAGACTGACGTCAAGTTTAGAGATGGGGAATTTCTGAGTCAGGCAGTTGGAAGGACTCGCAAGGAGAAAGGGAGTTGCTGTTGTTAGTACCATTGACTTATAACATCCCTGCATAGGGTTTCTGAGTTTGAACCACCGACCTTTCAGTTCAAATCAACCTTGTAGTCCAGTGTTTATCCTACAGTGACACACCAGGATAAGGGTCCGTAACACTTTATTTTAAAAGACTTTAAAATATTCAGGAAAGTTAAAAGTATAATACAGAGAACTCCCCTAGATCCTGTACCCAGATTCACCATTTTCAACATTTTACTTTATATTCTACACACATGGCATGCACACATTTATTTTTCTGAACCATTGGTGTAGGATTCATACAACATGTCTTTCTCTCTGCCTTTATACTTTAGTGAACAGATACTAAGAATAGGGTTATTCTCTTATGTAACCACAGGACAGTTACCAAATTAAGAAAATTTTGCACTGTACTTTTATCCATTCTACCTTCAGTATTCAAATGTTATCAATTACCTCAATAATGGCCCTGACCGGGGTTTCCCCCTTAAGTGAGAAAGGAAAAGTTCAGTGTAGCCCACGCTCACACATTGTGTTTAATCACCATGCCTCGTTAGTCACCTTTAATTGGGAATCTTTCATTGCTTTTTTCTCTTTTTTATAAAACTAACATTTTGCTAGAATACAGGCTGATTTATGACAGTAGAATGGGCCTTGTTTTGGGGTTGTCCTATCTTCATGCAGGTTATATATCCCTACCTCACATACAAAAAAGGAGATGTCTCTTTCTTGGTATCACATCCAGAAAGCACACTAAGTCCATCTGTCTCTCATTGGTGACTAATTTTCTTGTAACTTTTTATTGTGAATTGAGTGAAGGTGTACAGAACAGATCATCAGTCCCACGTTCAACAGATCATACACTTTGTGTCATTACAATGATTGCAATCCCCTGCTTATACCATCCGTTAACAGTATTTACCTCTGTTCACTTTAACACTCCCTGTGTCTTCCACTTCCGTCATCTTTCCTCTGCCAACCTCTCTCATGTTCTATATTTATTGGCGATTAATTTTGATCACTTGGACAGGAGGCATTACCATTTTTCCTCTAGCAACCAGTGCACTGTAATTTGAAATAGTTCCAGTCTTTGAGATACAAACAAAACAACATGCTACTAACTGATAATTCAGAAGCATAGTCTTTTCAAGTTGCAAAATATCTTGATAAGTGACAAAGTAAAGGAATTTTGTAGTAAAAAGAGGCCTTTGGTAAATCAGTTTTTAAAAGTCAGTTTACAATGAAATATTAGTCAGCTATGAAGGGAAATGAAATCCTGATGTAAGCTACAACATGCATGAACCTTGGAAATATTGTGCTGAGTGAAGTAAATCACAAAATGACAAATATTGTATGATATCACTTATATCTAGAATAGGCAAATATATAAAGACCGGGTGTGGCGCTGTGGGTTAATGCACTTAGACCGTTTGAACCACAAGATAGGTGGTTCAAGCTTACCAGCTGCTCCTTGGAAACTGTATTCAGGGTTGCTATGGGTTGGAATCAATGCAACATCACTTAACAACGACCACAACAACAAAGTTTATAGTGGTTACCAGGGGCAAGAGGAAGGGGAAAAGAAGAAGTCATTATTTAGGAAGCATTGACTTTCTGTTTATGGTAATGAGGAACTTGGCGATAATTATTGGTGATGGTTGTACAACGTAATTAAGTGTAGTTGATACATTTAATTAGCTTAGTTAAATGTAAATTATACATGTGAGAAACATTGAGTTGGCAACTGTTGTGCTATATATTGGTTACATATATGTTATATTTACATATAAACTTGTATCAGTTGAGAGTATATATTTACAGCAACTCAAATACTCAGGGTTGTTTTCTAAATTCTAGAAGAAATGGATGTTTTTATGCTATGTTTTTAAGTTCTGCCTCTTCCTTTACTCCTTTTTATAATGATTATATCTTTATAGTTTACTTCACTTTAAGGTCAGCTTTTAATACTATTTCAACGGAGAGAGAGAAAGTGAAGCAGCTGATGGAACAGGATGTCACCTCTTCCCCCTCCGCCCAGGCCATTGGTCTGAAGCATGCCCTGTCATCCGTAAGTTGCATGTCTGTGCCACAGAAATGCCGTGCCCAGGTTTATGAGTTCTTCATATGTTACATCTGCATGGTTGTGTTGAAAATCCATGGTGGAGAAAACCAAACGCATTGTCCAAATTATAGTCTAACCTTTTAGCACATCTACTTATTTCAAACGCCAAAAAGCAGCCTAACCCAAATCTAGTCTTTTACTGTGTTCCATATTTTGAGTTTGGTTTCCTCCTCTTCATTAGGTTGATTTTTCAATTTCTATAAATCTTTTATTGATGTTTTGTAGACATTGTTTTTGTTTTTATAATTTTTTATTATGAATTTAGTGATAGTTTACATGGGAGAACGTCAGTTTTACATTCATCCTATCATATTTCACTTCATTGCAGTGATTACAATTCCCTCCATGCATCATCATTCAACAGCATTTGCTTTCATCCCCTCTGTTGTTTTTTGGATGTACACGGAAGCACTCAGGAATATATAACCGTTCAAACAACCAACAAACAAATGGTACACCCCACAAGCCTGCCCCCTGGCTGTTAGCACACAGCCCCTCTCCATCCCAGAGTCCAGATTCCCTAGCCACTCCATCTCTCCATGTCATCATCTCTGCCATTGCTGCTTCTCTGGATAGGGTCCTGCATGCAGCTCTTCTCCCTTAATGGTCCCAGAGTCCTCCGCTCCTGGACTGCAAGATCAATCACTCCCCTCCTTTTGTTACAAAATGTCTACGTTTATATTTCCAACACTCACAGTCCTGATAGCAATCATTCACTACTGAACTGCAAGAGTCTTATCCCCATCTCCTTTCACCAGCCCAGTCCAGACAGGTTGGAAACCATTCAGTGGAGATTCTACCTTCCTCCGTATCTTCTGGAACTAGGCTCCCTCTTGAAATCTTGTAAGCCAGTCACTTCTTACCTTTGTAGCCTTCCATTTTGGGTATTGTTGTTGTTATGTGCTGTGGAGTCAGTTCCGACTCATAGTGACCCAGTACAGAGTTTCCAAGGCTGTAATCTTTATGAGAGCAGAAAGCCTTATCTTTCTCCCGCAGAAAAGCTGATAGTTTCAAACTGCTGACCTTGCAGTTCACAGCCCGATTCGTAACCACTACGCTACAGCCAATGTCTAAGTTGCCCATCTCTTGTCAACCTGTATACCGAAGGGGTAGGAATGATCCTCACTGTAAAAATTTGTTCCCTCTTGAGCTACTACATTCATAGGTATAGGTCATAAACATTTGTTTTTTAAGGCTTACAACATGTGACAGTTTGGAGGACATTTGTGCATCTGAGGCCCCTCAAGATTAGATGACTTTCCAAATGACACATGGCAAAGCAAAATTTCAAATTCATGTTCTTCTCTACTGCAAAGCACTGACCGATTTGCCTCTCTCTCAAAAACATGGAAATTATGTTATTTTATTGTACAGTAAAAAAGAAAAAAAAAAACAAACCATTTTCTGTTTCTCGTCTCCTACCCCTCACTCATTCCCAATGGTCAGGAAGAGATGAGTTATACAACGTGACTGTTAGGGTAATTTTTGAACCTTCATAGCAACAGGAAATTTGCTATCAAGCCTCAAATACTTTTTTACAAGTTGTTTTTTCTCTCACTCACTCCTTTAATTAAATTTCAGCTTATTCCTTAGACTTGTTAGACTCCAAGAGGTGTGCCTCCTAAGACCGGACCTTGAATTGCTGAAGTTGTTCACTGTTTCTCAAGAAAGTGGAGAACTTTTGAAATAACCTACTTATTTGCTCTTACTCTTTGCTTATACTTTGGAATTCCTACTTTAAACAAAGACAGTGTGTGTGCACAGGTGAAATTACTATCTGAGGCAATTCTGAATTTTCTATTTGGGGGCAGGTGGTAGTGGTGAATTTCAGGTTCTTGTCAGGAGGAGTCCTAGTGAGTGGCACAGTTGTTTAAGCAGTTGGCTGCCAAACAAAATGTTAGCAGTTTGAACCCACCAACTGCTTTATAGGAGAAAACTGTGGTAGACCGCTTCCATAATGATTTATAACCTTGGGAACTATGAGTAAGAATCGACTTGATGGCACAATGGGTTTGATTACTCTGGTCTAGTTGTCAGGAGCCAATTCAGCATTGAGAGAACCAGAAAATACCCATTTGTGCATATTTTCTATTAATCTTGTTACCAAGGAAAGTGATGCTGTTAGTGTAGTGTGAATGATAAACTCTTTTTACTACTTATTGTTGTTAAGTGCCACTGAGCTGGTTCCAAATCATACATAACTACCCTGTATAGAATTTCCAAGGAGCAGTTGGTGGGTTTGAACTGCTGACCTTGTGGTTTGCAGTCCCGTGTTTATCCTACAGTGGTACACCAGGAGTCCTCTATACCAGTAGCACCTGTTATCGCTACAAGATATTTAAGGAATATTCACTCAGTTGAACATCCAAGTATGCTCTCTCTGAAAAAACAAAATAGCGTTGGTTTCCTCCATGTGTAGTTAATTTTATATCTTACTGATACAAAGTACTTCCTAATGTTCCCATTATGTGGCTTTTAGTGCATTTAGAAGGAATATTTCCGATGGACCAAAAAAGCCCCTCTCCCCCTTAGTCTTCCTGTCCTTTGACCTCCTTCCATGGAGGTCTGGCTTCATCCTGCTAGTCTGCTCTGTGACAGAGGTCATTGGGACTACATTAACTCTGCTTGCCTAGGCCAGAGGTCGTTCTTACCTTTGCTGATGAATTCATTCCTCCCTCATGTTCAGGATTTTGGACATTTGAGATAAAACAGAATGATTCTTTTTAAAAAGTTTAGACTTCTGGTTAAATTTGAGACTTGTTTTCTAAAAAGTATTATTATTTTAGTTGTCTCTGGACTATCAGAATGGATGTAGTTATGCCATGTGTATAGTCATTGGTTCTTTTCTCTATTATAGCTGCCTATGGCTTACAGAAAAAGAGAAACTCCTAAAAAATCACATTTCTATGGCCATACTAAGACACTGGCCACCAGACAGCTGACCAGTTAGCCAGAAGAAAGCAAGTGCCCCACAGAGAGTATAAGCTGCGGTTGTGTGAGCTTTGTTCTTCTCAAGGTTTCTGAAAAGATCCCTAAGGATTTTCCAATGACCCATACCAAAGGAAACCAGAAACGCTGTGTGAGGACCAGATAGAGAGAGGTTTAGGCAGTGCCCTACCCCTGTGTTCTCAGCAGGTAGACCCTGTGGGCCCTAGCAGATGGACAAGCCTTGTTTCTTGAAAGAGAATCAGGAAGCCAGGTAGATGGATGTGTGTGTAAGCAATCATGAAGCTGCTGTGGGAAGGAGGAGGGGACCGTCACAGAAATTTGTCATGTGGATCACAGAGAGCACAGGATTATCAGAGTGAAGGAATCATCTTCCTTTACGTTTGAGCAGTTCCCTCCTTCTTAGGAGGTCAGAATGGGGAGTGGGACCTGTGCTGGGAAGAATCAAAGAGATGCTGGGTGGTCCCATGCATGCTCACATTTTATACCCACCAGCCCGGGACCACAGTCCTTACCCCCTATCCAGGTAAGCTGTTTTTTGGTTTATTTAATTTTGTTTTTAAATTGAATGCCACAGTCCTAAAGAATGAAAAAAATGATCAAAATTTATATTGTAAAACAATAAAGTTAATCCTCTACAAATTCCTACTGGTCTTTCTAAAATCCAGTTCAAATGGTGTGATAACTAAATGGCATTAAAATATACCCGATCATAAGAAGGTGGGAACATCTTTTTCAAGGTGGAGAGAAGCCTGAGGTGATTAGGAAGTAAATTGGCAAAAGAGACCAAGACAGTTGGTAAAGGAGGCCGAGAGGCTGAGAAAACATTAGTCATAATAAGAACTGGAGGTGTCTGGTGTCTGGTTTCCTTCTCCACTGCCCTTACTAACCCCTCCTTCCATGCCTGGAAATGAGAGCGAAGAGGCATCATTTCCGGAGCTTACTATTATTCCTTATCTCCCAAGCATCTCTGAGTAGATGTCCTTTAGGAACATTTTCAAAATGAAAGCCCAGAAGGGCCCCTGGGGCCACGTCTCATATGTTAACGCTCACAGATACCTCTCCTGCCAGGCCCATGGCTGTGCTTTGCTGACACCTCCCTTTATTAACGTGGCCCCCACTATTTTTAACATGTTCCAGGCACTAGCACAAAACACAGATCTTAAAGAGCGCTTACGCAGAATCCATGCCGAGTGTCTGCTCCTCGACCCTCCTGCTGTTGCCAAGTTGGGTGACAGTCTGGCCGAGGTGGGTAAGGTTCCCTGTCTGTAATGTCTCCGAGCACCACCCCTCCCTGGTGACACCCTCTGTCCCGTTCGTTGCACGGTCTCCCTGCTTCACCCTTGTGAGTGGTGTTTGCACCCAGCCTGCCTCCTCGTTGGTGATTGTGAAGCTGTGAAGCTGCAACAAGGATTGGGGACCTCAGGGTTCAGAGCTTTCTGGGGAGTATCCTGCTATTCTCACCCTATGTGCACCACCACCTCCGGAACTTTTTCCCTTTGGTATTTCTTTATCCCGTCTCCCTCCGCAGTATTAGTGTCTTTCCCTGAGTGGGAAATGGTGGAAGACAATGTTTTCTCCTCTTATTCTCAAAACACCTACAGTTCTTGTACCTCTTTCCTTGCTCCTTCTCTAAGAACCCCTCTTACCCTTTCTTTATGGTGGTTTCCCTCTGCCCTTCCTGGGGATTGTTTTCTTTCAATGACCAGAAAGAGAAGAACACATGGGGGGTGGGGGGAGGGGAACGACACAACAATGTGTTACATTAAAATGACTGGGTTAGCTAATAAATAGCACATTACAAAGGTCTTTTCTGAAGATGTGGGCATTTAACCCAGAATATTCTTCGAATGTGTTTAAAATGAGTAAGTTCAGAAAAATATAAGTAGATGACTCTAAAAATAAGTACAAAAGAACAAAGAAGGGCATGACTGTTTTTAGCTACCTCTTATGTTTATATGACTCAGATGTGCTAAATTTCTCATTAACAGATTAGATTTCATTCAAAATAAAAAATAAAGATGGTAATACACAAGGGGGTTGTGTGTGTGTGCGTGCATGTGTGTTGGTACGTGTAAGTGCTTCAAAGGGTTTTCTGATGTTTAATTTTGGCGTTTCTGAGTGGAACAAATGGTTAATGCATTTGGCTGCTAACCGAAAGTTTGGAGGTTTGAATCCACCATAGGCACCTTGGAATAATGACCACTTCCCATCAATCAGCCATTGAACACTCTGACCAAACAGTAGGTTAGCTTAAGCAGTAAAGACTATGTGCCTTGAGCGTTGTACTCTTTTTAGATGTATGTATTTATGGATTCCCAGTGTGGTGGTGTAGGATAAGCGCTGGACTGCTAACCAAAAGGTCGGTGTTTCAAACCCTCCAGCCGTTCCTTGCCTTGGAAACACTATTCAGGGTTGCTATGAGTCAGAACTGACTTAACAACATACAGGATCCAATTGACAACAGCAACCTAAAAGATTAGACAGAAACAAGGGTCAATGAGTTGATGTTACTGGGAAGGAACAACTCAGAAAAGGCAGGTAGGAATGATTCCATAACTGAAGTGTCATCAGTGTACATTTAGAAGCTGTTGAATTGCTTTACATTAATTCAGTTTCTCCATAACTTCTTTGAAGCCCCCTCATATCTTCTAAACAACAATAAAGTAACTTTTAAAAAAAAAAGAGTAAGAAAACTGTATAGAGCTCAGTTGTACTCTAACGTACCTGAGTTTGTAGTGAGTTGTGGTAGAACTGACAACTGGTAACAATGTCTAATCTTAATCCTTCCACCTTCTTTTCCTGCCCTTGAAGAAAAAGCAAAACCTTCACTTCTGAGAGAAACGATTGTGTCAGGCAATGAGGAGAGAGATTGGAGGCTAAAATCAGTCAGTACACAGTTGATGAGGCTGGGGCATCTGCCTCATGTACAGTGCAAACCCTGCTTACCTTCTCTTCTGACGAGTCGGTTACCTTCTCTCCTTGGCGGGCAACCAGCATTACCCTAAGTGCTTGTGAGGCACCTAACAGTGGTTGATGACGGAACTCTTCTATGGACTAACCTTCCCAAGAGATCTGTTTTTCTCATTTTGATCCAGACATAAACCAAGCCACCTACAGGTCTAGGCACGTACCTACCCCTTGCTCATTCCTTTTTAATGGCCTTGGTTTTAGGCTTGGACAAAGTTGTGTGTTCACCAACTAGCTCCCTCTTGCATCTGCACATTGGCTGCATAAAGCAGAACCCAGTCACTGTGACAGCTACCTGGGAGGGTTGCTTGCTACCAGACAGCTAGGTATTCTGCAAGGTTTCATGTATTTCTTTCCATAATATATTTACCTTTAAAGTCCTAGTCTTACATAAATTACAAATAGGTCAGTGGCAAGTTGATCATGCATATTTTTATGAATTGATGTTCAGTGTGTATGGTATGGCTATTTGTGAATTAAAAAGGAAGTCAGAATCACAACTCTTTAACATGCATATTTTTAAACTAATCCCAGAGGCTATGGGCTTGAAGACCTAAAGAAATTAAGTTGTCTTTGTAGGGTGGTGGTAACATCTCTCAAACTTTCAGAAGCATTCCTCAGAGTATTGAATCAATGATGTGGTGTCTCAAATATCTGTCTCCTCCTTTAGTGACTTTGTGTGTTCTGTGTTTTATCTGCTTTTCACTAAGTGGTTCAGGCTGGATGTTCGTACCAGGAAAAGTCCATTGTTGGTACCCAGAAATAAGTTAGAGAATAAGTGTACATGAATGCCTCAGCCTGGAAACTTCTTCCTGATTTATGTTTTCAGATACTGTACAGGCTTCTTCAACACTGGGGACAACAGCCAGGGACAGCAGGGTCAGCCCAGGGATACTATTTTTATGGGTCACTTTCATTCATCCCTTCCTGTTTCCTCATTTTACCTGCACAGATTACTCATCTTAGGTGTTGGACCTGGACAGATGCATTCTGAAAGCCTCTCTCTGCTTCCGCATCCTATTAGGTTCTTCTGTTTCATGTTCCTGAATTTACATGTTACCAAGATTATTTTAGATTATTCTAAATTCCAAACAAAAGGGCAAGTGACTTTTTGGTGTAATGTTCTACTAAATTCTAAAGTCCATCAAAGAAACGTCTGGAAGAAGAAAGGAACTGGCCTTAAATGCCCACCTGTCTGCTGTAGTCCAGGTGTGTTTGAATGAATTATTTCACAAAATCCTAAACGCACCTCTCTGACGTATGTGATAGTAGTTTCAGTTTTGAAACAGGAAAGTGAAGCCCTTAAATAATGACCCCTAGGGCACAGCGCTAGTAGGAGACTCTATCTAAATGAGTCCAAAGCACGTGTTCTCTCAACATCACACTGCTACCTAATGAATCCTGGTGTGGAACTGGGAGTTAATCCGCTGGACTGCAAAATCAGTTTAAACCTTATGGTCAGGGATTCAAGCTCACCAGTCCCTCCTGAGAAACCTTATACAGAACCGGCTCAAAGGCACATAATAACAATAACAACAATACACAAATAGTTTTATATAAAAAAACTACCAACAGGTTAATAAGGGCCACTTCTGGATGATGAGACTTTTAAGTGATATTTATTTCATTAACACTTGTCTTTATTTTTATTTTGAGCCTGTTCCTTTTATCCTCAGGACAGATAATAATTTTGAAAAAAAAAAAAAAGATTATGTCACAGTGTGGTTGGTAGAAGCTTATACACTTAGATGCATACAAGGTAGTTTCAAAAAGTTTGTGGAAAAATTCTATTATCTTTTAATTCCGTTTTTCTGTGAACTTTTTGAAACACTCTTATATGTGTGTGTGTGTAGATATTAACATAACAAAACAAAGCTATGTGTAGCAAAAGGGTTGGAAAGAAATGTGTCAATATGCTTATATTGGTTGTATTGTGGGATAAGATTCTGATGTTCCTTTCACCTTTTTTCTCTAACTTTTCTTTCTTTTTTAAAACTAAACTGCCTTACAAACTTGAAGGGAAAATATTGAATTGGTTAATATTGTACTAAATGAAGTCTTAGGATGTACAAGTCACTATCCCAAGCTGTGGTAGCTGTTACATGGTTTGGTGTTTCAGTCTGTAATCAGATGAAGTGGCGAGAGAAGTGGAATCAGAAAAGGCTAGGCACTAGACTTACTGTTTTCAGTGCTGGCCGGTTAAGAAATCCTCTTGACCTATCAGTCTTGGAGGAGGAAGATACAGAGCAAGCAGGAGTGGCTAGTTATAAATTAATGAGTTGAACAAATAAATAAATGATGAGCGTTTTATGTGGCAGTGGAATGTCAAAGACACAGGGCGATTCCATTGTTTCAATGAGCATTAAAGGAGCTCCCATTGTGAACTGCAGTATCTTCAGACTCAGAGCTTAGTGGCAGGCTCTTTGAGGGGAGACACCATTCCCTTGAAGATGACAGCTTTGATACTTACTTATGGATCCTAAAGTGATCTCTTTGCTAACATAGGAGGAAACCTACTTTTCAGAGGCTGTATGGATGTTAAAATGGGTAGGATTATGATATTTAAGATGAAACAAAGACAGTGATGCATGTTTTTAAATGTGTCTGAAGTAAATATTTCATAAAGGGGTCACTTGTCCTTTATTAATTATGAAGATCTGCCTATCAGAGCCTCTCCTACTGGACCATAATTTTCAGGAGGCTTGGAAGTATGTCTTGAACTCATAAAACTTCTGAGTGAGAAATAATGTGCCTTAACTCATCCCCAAATTACGGTGGGACTAAATGATCAGAAACATGATGATGATGTAGAAGCAGCTCCTTTTCAGCCCAGTGAAAAACGTTAGGAAGCTTGTGGGGAACTATCACCTGTAATTGGAAGGAATCGAATCATCTTGTTCTGAATCTGTTCTAATTCCTCAAGGTCTTAAGTCCAATGCCACCTCCTCTGTAAAGGCCTCCCCCTCAAACAGTGCTGCTTGATCAACATCAACCTCTGCATCCTCTTTGCATTTATAAGCACTTTGTTCTTCAACTGTAGTATGACATGTGTTGATTTGTGTTCTCTGCACCTACTTACTCAGGTCAGAAACCATGTCTCCTTCATGATTCTGTCTCTCTTTGGCCAACACAGGACTATGCACATATAAAGCAGCAATTTGTTGAGTTGAATTGAATTTCCATTTGCAAACAGAATAGGTATTCAGATCTCTGAATACCTTCCAAAGTATTCAGGTCCTTCCAGGAAGGAAAGTATAGACCCATTGGAGTAAGTACAGCCACCTAGTCAGTGGGGTGGGGAATCAGGATTATATGGGTGACTAGAAAGCAGTGGTATTTTGTTGTTTGCTTAGAGGCTTATAAAGGAGGTTGGGAACTTCCATCCCTTGAAGATCCATTGTGGTGGAGAGAGACAGACAAAGAGAATTTATCTTTGAATAATGAGTAATGAATGATCTACCACCAGGGGCACTTCTGGACCAAAATCACACTGCTGATGCCTCAAGGGACAGCTCCAAAGTTCTGTGAAACCATAGAAGCAGAAAGGAACTGTGTTCTCTGAATGAACTCTGCAAGGACATACATTCAGTACAATTCAGAGGAAATTTCAGGATGAAAAGGGACATCCTGCAGTGGGAGAAATAAGGGGATATGATTCAGAGAGTATTTGATTTTTTTTTTTCCCACCCCCATAAAGTGAACAAAGACTGATGGGAGTAGTTATTCTTTTGTCTTTAAAATGTATTGTGAGTGCTGGAGCAGTGGTTGTGCTGGAAGTGAGGGGCCCATTTTGGGGAAGATGGCCACATTCCATTATTTCTCCTCAACTTCAGAGCTGACCCCTGCTTGGGATTGCTTGTTTGCATGGGCCTTTGACATTGTGTATCATTGCCATTAAAAAGTGGGGTTTTTTTTTTGTTTTTTTTTGGTTTTCTGTTGTTTCTCTTGAGCCTATTTGAAAACATATGTGTGGTTTGTGACATGGTTTTTTCAAATAGGAAAACTCCAGAGATGAAAACCGAGCTCTGGTTCATCAGCTCTCCAATGAAAGCAGACTGTCCATCACCGACTCGCTCTCAGAGTTTTTTGATGCCCAGGAAGTTCTGTTATCACCAAGCTCTTCAGAAAATGAGGTTTGAATACTATTTTTAATTAGGTGCTTTGGAATCTCTTGTGCTGCTTTGCTGATTGACCCTGCTCGGTAAACACCCATAAATTCCATAGCTCATCTCTATAGTTGCATTCTGAGATTCTTTCTCATGCCTCCTACCTCAAAAACAAAATCTTTGTTTAAAAAAAGAGTTTTGCTTGTAGAGGATGTTTCGGTACTTTTACTCTGACTTGATTTATTATGATTTTTTTATATAAGTTTATAATTTTGACTTTTAACTATTTGATAATTCAGTATTTCCACTGCAAGGAAAGAGATTAGCATCTTTTTTGCGTGTATGTGTTTTTAGAGGTCATAGAATTTAACTTACATTAATAGTTACATGTATAATAATGTTGTTTTAAATGGCTATATAAGAAGAGTAATTTTCTGTATAGGCAAGCTTAGTATAAGTTTTAGCATTCTTGAATGTTAAATGCATACTCTTATCGTTCCTTTAACATATGGTTAAGTGCAAAAGTATTTATAATAACTCACAACTTGAGTTTACTAGGCATTTTTCTTGTGAGAAGGAATCAAGGATGTATATATATGATTTTTAATGACAGGTGTTTGCTGTGACTATCACCAAGACAAACTGATGGTATAGGCCTCTATGAGAACAGCATTGAAAACTATCTCTATAGATTGGTAATGTGGGATTCAAGTAGTGTTTGATTATTTGGAGAAACTGTTTTATGAACGGCCAGCTGTCAATTTAATCTCACTGTGCTGTACTTTGTTTTCTTCTTCCCCCTAGATTTCTGACGACGATTCTTATGTAAGCGATATAAGTGACAATCTTTCCTTAGACAACCTCAGCAACGATTTAGACAATGAGAGACAGACCTTGGGTAAGATTTCAATGATTACATCTAAGAAAGTTTGGCTCTCTCTAGATACTAATTGGAGAGATTGAGTGCCTGCTGCTAGCAGGTACTCCATAAGAAAATTAAGACCAAGTCCCCACCCTTTAGTATTTTGTAATCTAACTGGGGACATAGCACTAAACACATGAAAGATACATTCATTCACAAATTTGACAGCTTGTACACATTTATATTTGATAAAATTAAACTATTCCACTCATGTAAATATCAAAATGTAATGTAATGGGTACCCCCTGTACAGTCAAACACAGTAGAATATAACTCTTTTGCCTTAGGTTTCTAAGGGTTTTTGTAATTTAGGAATTCTGTAAGACTGATAACCACAAGGTTGGTGGTTCAAACCCACCAGCCACTTCTCAGAAACCCTGTAGAGGGTCACTATGAGTCAGAACCACGACACTTAGCAACAACAAAAACAGGCTTAAAAAAAGATTCGCTCTTAGTGGCACTTAAGTTTCAGATTCTTCAAGGTAGCACATTTGAAAGCAAAGAGATTGAAATATGTCCCTGTACTACCAGTGAATCCCAAGAGGAAAGTTGATTCTAGGAAAGGCATTTCCTCATGCTAGTTTGGACAGTAGAGAGTTCTGGGTGACACCAATGGTAAAAAGCTCCACTACTGGCTGACAGATTGGTGGTTCGAACCTACCATAGGCCTGGCCGTCTGCTTCCAAAGGATCCTAGAACGTTGAAACCCAACTCTGTGGAGCAGTTCGTCTGCGCACACCTTGGGTCACAAAGAGTTGGCATCTATTCCACGGCAATTAGCAACAGCAGTTTGAATTATGAGGTATCCAGACTTTCTTTCTCCAGACAACTCTGATACAAGACTGTTTTGTTGTTGTTGTTAAGAGCCATTGAATCAGTTTTGACTCATAGCGACCCTGTGTAGGGTTTCCAAGGAACAGCTGATGGGTTTGAAATGCTGACCGTGTGATTTGCTGTCCAGCGCTGATCCTACAGTGCCACAACAGACGTCCAAGGTTGTCTAGAAAGCCATTCCAAAGAACTTGCCCGATGGGGTAATTCTGTATCACAGATCCTGTACCATCAAATTCCCCTAAACTTGGTTCTCAATGTATCTTGGGAGTCTCTAGGTTTGTCGGTCCGGCTGTGGACAGCCAAGCAGAGCCAAATTTTCTATCTATACAGAAGACAGGAACCATATTGGATGCATTTTCAGTATTTCAGTGCTTCTCAATTCAATAATTATGCATGAAGTAAATGATAACATTGTTACTGAATGCCAAAGAGCTGCCTTTTTGTGAAGCACAATATAGAATAAAGGGCAGGTCATTTTACTATCTTATAGAAAACATCTTTTCTGCACCGTAGTTTATCAAAGTGAGAAACTTCACCATGCTCTGTATTGTATTTAAATTGTTTCTGCAGAGATGAATCCCTCTGTGAAAGAGTCTAAGAACCAGTGGGTTGAAAGGAAAAGGCTTACAGTACAGTAGCAAGTTTATGTGCTCCTTGTTTTTCTAGAGGACTGAGGATGCACATTAAGAAATGAAGAGGCATCAGTTACTCTCTTGGCAGGCAGCTCCCATACTAAAATTTCACTCCTGGAGGTGGATGGGGACTGGAACACTGACTAACACAAGTCCTGCTTCCCTTTGAGGCCTGCGGGAGGTGTGGGAAAAGGGACACAAGTGAATGAGGGTTCCACGGTCAAAGTTGGGAACAAAAGACTTGCCCAGAACTTAAGACAATGGTCACGCTCAGTTGAAACTAGCCAGAAAGGAGATTTAAGAGGTTAAAGCTGTTATACCTTATCCCACCCACCACCCACCTGTCAGTGTGTCAAAATGAGGTGGCATGTGTGTTGCAGGGATGCTGGAAGCTCTGGCATTGGTATTTCAAATACCAGCAGGATCACCCATGATGAATAGGTTTCAGCAGAACTTCCAGAGTAAGATGGACAAGGAAGAAAGACCTGGTGATCAAAAAGTAGCTAATGAATAAGGGGTGAGTGATTGATCTTACAGTCCCAGAGTGGAGGACCCTGGGACCATCAAGGGAGAAGAGTGGGAGTGGAGTGTGGGACTCTACCCACAGAAGCACCGATGCCAGAGATGGAGGCAGAGATGATGACATGGAGAGATGGACAGCTGAGGATTCTAGACTCCTGGAGGGAGAGGGGATGTGTGCTGGTGGCCGGGGGGCAGGGTGTGCCCTTTGGCAGTTTGAATGATTGTATATTCCTGAGTGTTTTGGTGCACATCCAAAAAAAGAAGAAATAAATAGAAGCAATACTGTTGAATGATGAAGCATGCAGGGGATTGTAATCGTTGCAATGAAACAAACTGACGTTCCCCCATGTAAACTATCACTAAATTCACAATAAAAACTTTCAAAAAGCAAAACAAAAGTAGCTAATGAAACCCCAGTGGGTCACAACAGTATATGGATCTGGTCTAGCGATGGGCTGTGAGCCCCCTTGTGTGGAGGCCACAACACTAGAATTGAGCATGTCCATAATTGTGAAGATGGCGCAGGGCCAAGCAAGGCTTCGTTCTGTTGTACTTGGGGTCACTCAGTGGCAACTCACAACAGTATTATCCTACAGCCAGTTTGCTAGAATGCTGACTAGCATTACCTTACTTGAACAAACACTGGGCAAAAACCAGGTTTCTTCTTCATCAGTATTTGAATCCTAGAAATGGGTGTGCCATTTGGGGAAAATGGGTGTCTCGTTTGGGGAAAATGAGATTTCTAAATGTCAGTACTCTACTAAAAAGATTGGATACAAAAATAACCTTTGTGTTTTGATTATTACACAGCTTTGCCTGCAGAAGAATCAAGATCTTGATATATTATAACACTAAAATTTCTCTGAGCACATAGTAAATGTTAGCTATTTAGAGTGTTTCCTAGTAATTTCTTAAAAACAAAAACATGGGTACCTTTCTGAAATAAATTAAAGAACAATAAATAAATAGAAAGACACCTACTGCCCATGAATTAGAAGACTTATTGTTGAAATTGCTACCCAAAGTGATCTACATATTCAATGCATTATCTATCAAAATTCTATGGGCTTGTTGATAGAAATGGAGAAACGGGATCTCAAATGCACATGGATTCCTAAGGAGCCTTGAATATCCAAAGCAATATTGAAGAAGAACAGAATTGGAGGTCTCTTACATCCCTATTTCAAAATTGCTACTGGCAAAATTGAGAACAAGGGGGCAAAATTGAGGATCCAAAAATAAACCCATACATCTGTAGCCAGTTGATTTTCAACAAAGGTGTCCAGACCATTCGATAAGAGTCTCCAACAATTGCTGTATTTCCACATGTAAAAAAAAAAAAAAAAAAATGAAATTGGAACCCTCCTATATCACATGATATACAAAAATTAACTAAAACAGATCAATGACTTAAATAAAAGCATTAAAACCATAAAATTCTTCAAAACCGTGAGAGGTGAATCCTCATGGTTTTGGATTTGGCAGTGAATATTATCCAACCCGAAAGAGAAATGAAGTTCTGATTCTTGCTGCAACATAGATGAACCTTAAAAACACTATGCTGAATGGAATAAGTCAGATACAATAGGATCCCATTTACAGGAAATATCTAGAATAGGTGAATATGCAAGACAAAAGTTTAATGGTTAATGGTTACCAAGGCCTGGGAGGAAGGGAGGATAGGATATTAATGATGGCATGTTAAGATTTTGTATGGGATGATAAAAAGCTTTTGAAAGTAGCTGTTGTAGCTGAGTTGGCACTGACTCATAGTGGCCCTCTATGGTGTTTCCGAGGAGCAGCTGGTTTGTTTGAACCACCAACCTTGTGGTTCGTAGCCCAGTCCTGATCCTGCAACTCTACACCAGGGCTCTGAAAGTAACATCATGAATTTGATGCTTGTAATAGCTAAGATAAGAAACTTGTATTACCACAATAAACTTAAAAAACAAATACAAAAACCAAATGTATGGTCTTCATGGATAAATCCATAATGTTTTCACTGGCCAGTTTTGTTCAAAAGTAGATCTCCAGATCAACGCCCGTGGAAACAGTCAGGAAAGCAAATGACATACTATACTGAGCATTATCTGCTGCAGAAGACCTCTTTAAATATTAAAAAGCAAAGATGTCACCTTTAGGACTAAGGTGTGCCTGACCGTAGCTACATGGTATTTTTCAATCTCCTCATAGTCGTGCAAAAGCTAGATAATGAATAAGAAAGACTTAAGAAAAATTAAGGCATTTAAATGATGATGCTAGTGAAGAGTACAAATATACCATCAACTTCCATAAGCACAAACAAATCTGTCTTGGAAGAAATGTACAGCCAGAATACTCCTTGGAATCAAGGATGGAAAGACTTCGTGTCATGTACTTTGGGCATGTTATCAGAAGATGCCAGTCTCTGCAGAAAGACATCATGCTTGGTATACAGTGAAGGATTGGTGAAAAAGAGGAAGCCCCTCAGCGAGATGGGTTAACTCAGTGGCTGCAATAAGGGACTCACATAAGGGTTGTGAGAAGGGTGCAGGCCCAGGCAGTGCTTGTTTCTGTTGGGCATAGGGTTACTATGAGTAGGAATCAACTCAGTGGTACCTAGCAACAAAACAATGTATGTAAACAGGAAATAGACAATTCAGGGAAAAAGAAACATCTCACACCACACTAGAATTTAAAAAAATATTTTAAAGTAAGGAGATAACATAGCCCACCTAACAAAGTAGGGATAAGCTTGGAAAGACTTGGGAGAGGGACTTGTATATGCTGCGGATAATTGTGTAAACCGAAACAGTCTGATCATATGACTCAAAACTCTAGAAATGTTCATAGACATGACATACTAACCCCATGTCTGTGTGTCCTAATAAGATCAGCCAAAATGCAGTCAGTTAGTGTGTGAGTTTTATTCCCAGCTTAGAAAAATACTGAAACCTAAAAATCCAACAGTAGATAATGGTTTGGTAAATGTTGGCGTATTCATATAACAGGGTCATTCTATTATTCAGAATGATACTCTGGGAAATTTTCAGATTATTTGGGTACATACTTACATTGGAGTCCTGATGTGGCACTGTGGGTTAATGCGCTGGACTGCAAAGTCAGTTTGAACCACAAGGTGGGCAGTTTATGATCACAGAAACCCTATACAGGGTCACTGTGGGTCGGAACTGACTCAACAGCACCTAACAACAACATAGTTATGTGTTAACTGGAGGGGCAGGATATATAAAATGATGTATATAATATGAGATATATGGGTAGAGAAAACACTAAATGAAAATATTATTAGAATCAATGGCTGCTGTTTCTTGGTGGCGGAATCGTGAATGACCTTTGTTTCCTTTATCATTTTCCTGTATGAAACTTGGTTGTTTTCATTCAAATTTAGAGTTTTTTTAAAAGAGTTAAAAAGTTGTTTGTTTGTTTGTTATAAATAAACAGTAATCTGCTGTTAGTATAGAAATCCAATTTTCAGTTTTATCATAAGTGTGCATAAAGTACGAGGCATTCGCTTTTGAATAGGAATCCAAGTGCCACCTTATAAGTAAATTCTGTTTTAGTGTATATAATAGCTGTTCAGACTCTTTTGATTTATTTTCTGGCTACCAAATGATTAAGGTTTGATTTATGGATTTGATTTTTAATTATAAAATTTACAGCTTTATAGAAACAACCAGGCTCATTTCATTTCCAGGGCCTGTTCTCGAAAGTGGCAGAGAAGTGAAATCCAAAAGAAGAACCTGCTTACCAGCGCCATGCCCCAACACCAGTAACATTAGTTTGTGGAACATCCTGAGAAACAACATCGGCAAGGATCTGTCCAAAGTGGCGATGCCGGTGGAGTTAAACGAGCCCCTGAACACGCTGCAGAGACTCTGCGAAGAGCTGGAGTACAGCGAGTTGCTGGACAAGGCTGCACAGACTCCGAGCCCCCTGGAACGGATGGTGAGGAACCCCTTCCAACAGCACTGCCCCCACTCCCAGCTTGCTGCCCTGAGGCACCAAGATGGGCTGCTGGTGTTCACTTTGATGGCTCTGGGGACAGTCTCATTTCTTAGCGACGTCTGGTTCCCCTTGTCAGGATTTGCCATTTGAGGGCTTGTCTTTGACAGCTGGTGCCTGAAGTAGTTCTGCTCGGTGGTTTTATGGACCCTCATTCTCCAGCAGCCTGCCATGGGATTGTCTGATATGCCTGTCTGGAAAACACATCTTCAGGGCTGTCCGTCTGTGTGTTTATTTTTACTACCCTGGGTGGATAGAATTTAATTTCTCATTGTTTTTCTCTTTCAGGGTAAATTTCCCTTGAGATTTTTTTGGTTTATTTTTAGAAGTGCCCTGTCAGCTGCTAGACTTTTTAGAAACAGTCAGAGAGGAGGTTTTTGCATTCAAACAAACAAACAAAACTCCTTCACTTTTTTCATTTTATTTTATTTTATCTTTTCATTTTATTTTATATTTATCTTTATTTTTATAGAGTAGTTAAAAAAAAAAAACTTACCCTAGAGTAATCCATCTTGACTTCTCTATTCAGTATGCTTTCCAGTCACAGATGATTGGCTTCCAGGTATATCTGGGCTTCTGGTAACACAAATGGCGTAGTAAAACACTTGGGCTACTAATAAAAAAGTTGGTGATTTAAATCTACATAGAGGCTCCTCAGAAGAAAGGGGCTGGCAGTCTACTTCTGAAACATCAGCCATTGGAAACCCTATAGAGCCCAATTCCACTCTCACACACATGGGGTCACCATGAGTCAGAGTTGACTTGAAAACAACTGGTTTGGAGTTATTTTGTGTGTGCACTTTCCAAGTGTTCTAATCCTTCCCCTTTTGTGATTCTGACGGATCTGTTCTTTTTTAAAATAAGGTGACTGTTCCACTTTTGCTTCTACAAAATTTGTGAGCATCTGGGTTTTTGTCTTCGTGGGATGCTGAGACCTCAGTGTCTCCCCGCATCCTGGACATTGGCTAATTGGCTCTATTAGAATAAGTGTCCTGTCTTGAGTGGTCCAGCAGAGCTCCCTTGTAAGCAAGCGTGCCGACAGCCTCCCATTGATAGAGGATGTCATTCTTTTCTCAATTTTAAGCATTCTGCAGTTGTAGCCCTCATTGAAGCTTCATTTGATTTGAAGATTATAAGGAAACCTTAGTGGCTGGCTGAAAGGACCATCCATTGTCATTCCACGGAGTCTCAGGGGCCTTTTCCCATCAAAGAGGCTTCTTCCTTGATACTAAAGATAATACGGGTAGGATTGAAAAGCAGGCTCTGTGTGTATGTTTGTTTGTGGGCTTTCATCTCTTGACTGATTTTTCTCCCTAGAAAAGGAAGGCAAATAGCTTCTGAAGTGTTAAAACTCAGTGTTTGTGGATAGTTCTTTTCTTTAAAGAAAAAGCTAACTTTGAAGATGAAAGTATTCTTTAAGGTGTTTTGTTCTTAGAGATCCCCTAGATTGTCATCTCAGTGGTTGGCATCAGTGACCTTGAGGAGAAGTTTAGGGAAAGGCTACACAAAGCATGGGGAAGGACAAGTCCAAGTTGGCATTGAGCCGAACCTAACCTAGGAGATTTTGTTCACTTTATGGGTCAGCTTGTGCCCTGCACAGATTCTGTCATGTCACCTCCCAAAGGAGGATGCTCCATTGTAGCTGCTCCCGCCCCCGTTCTTCCCCACACCTCTTATGAATGACGCGACCCAGTCTTCTTTTATAAATGTTCTATTCTGAATTGTGAAGATGAGTCAGGATTAATCCAACATACCACATGGCCTTACTGTGACCTTAGTGTTTAGCAGGTAACATGACAGTATGACATTACTGTTTAGCAGGTCACATATGAGGAAGCAAAGGGAATAGACACCCAGCTTTCAAGAACAAAGGCAGTCACAGATGGGACTGACTTGAGCCTAGTGAATTGATGTTTAAAGCTATCTAGCTGCTTCATAGCATTCAGGTGTGCATGGTGGTAAGTTGAATCCTATTGCAGGCAGCACCAAAGCTTGAGTGGAAGGCGTGGAAAGGTCACATGACTTATGAACATGTATAAAGAAGCCTCCCTGCGTGTTGCAAACAGTAAACACACTCATCTGCTAGCCTACAGATTAGAGGGTCAAGTTCACCCAGAGGCACCACAGAAGAAAGTTTTGAAACATCAGCCATTGAAAACCCCATGGAGCGCAGTTTAACTATATTATACTCTAGAACATTTATGAAAGGCATTCAACTTTCATTCAGTATAAGAAATTTCATGAATGTTCTGGGAAGGTGAAACATTGAGGTGGTTGCTCAGTATTAAAAAGGAAAATGTGTTATGATTACTTAGTTTTACCTTTTTTTTTTTTTGCAAAAGTAAAGGAACAAGAGGAGAGGAGAAAGAAATACATGGGTCTTTGGTGCCTCGAGGGATGGGGTCAGAGGGGAACTGCTGACAGTGATGAGAGCCTCTGAGAAGGCCATCAAAAGATTTTGTAGATTTCATGTTCACTTATCGTTTTCCTTCCTTTCTTGGATGATTTTTTTGGCCTCCCAGGACTTTTGTGGGTTTTTTTATTTTTCAAAGCAGCCCTGATGGTACTTTGGTTTAAGTGTTGGCTGCTAAATATAAGGTCAGTGGTTCAAACCCCCAGCCACTTCATGGGAGAAAGCTGAGGCTGTCTGCTACCATGAAGATTTGCCGTCTCAGAAACCCTAGGGAAAGAGGTCTACTCTATCCTACAGGGTCACCAAGAATTGGGAATGGTTTTGGGAATCAAGAAGCAGAGGAAAGGTACTTATGTGGAGCAAGGATATAGCTGCTCTCTTTGATGGCAGTGTAAGATAAGGACTGGATTGCTAACCAGGTCAGCAGCTGCTCCATTGGAGAAAAATGAGACTGTCTACTCCTGTCCAGACTTACATCCCCAGAAACCTTCTTCAGGGTCACTGCGCATCGGAATTGGTTTTGGGACGGTTCTGTGCTCCTGTGTATCATGTGCCTTGTTTCTAGGCTCAGGAGACGATGACTCACAGATTTTTCTTCATCCGACTGAGCTTTTAGATTTCTACAGTATCGAATAGTGAGTGGTGAAATTTGAGAGGCTTACTCCTAAATTTTGAAAGACATCTGGCTTTTTATTTTAATGCCCTTCCCATCCCAACCACAAAAGGCTTAAATGCTTTAGAATGATGTAAGGATTAGCAAATAATGATGGACTTGCTAGTTCAAGACGTGATGTAGTTCATTTAATAATTATCATCATCTTGATAGTCTCTAGCAGCTTTTAGGCATCGGAACAAAGAGGCGATGTTTCAGTGTATGGTTAATTTGTTTCTGGACCAAATGAGCATTATTTGAACCTGTTACTGACCAGGCGTTTGATGTTTTGAAATAAAACCATAAAGAGAGAAGTCGACGTTTTCTTCCTTTGCTGGTGAAATCTCTTGGTGACAGTGAAATTACAGAAACTTCTCTCCTCTCTATTCTAGGTATACATGGCGGCCTTCGCGGTCTCAGCATATGCATCTAGCTACTTCCGAGCTGGGAGCAAGCCATTTAACCCAGTTCTTGGAGAAACATACGAGTGCATTCGTGAAGACAAGGGCTTCCGGTTTTTTTCAGAGCAGGTAGATATACATCATTTTTGTTTCTTGTGAGGAGTTGCTTATATGTCGATACATGGGCTTCTGAAATAGTCATTTCCCAAACACACACACACACACACACACACACACACACCCCTTCCCTGGCTTCAAAGCAACGGAGATAAGTACAGTGCTTTAAATCATAAAGGACAAGTATCAGTTTCCCTTCCACTGAAACCTAGTCACCACCCATGAGCCTTGTTGTTAAGTGCCATCAAGTTGGTTCCGACTCATAGTGACCCTGTATAGGATTTCTGAGGAGCACCTGGTAAGCTTGAACCACCAACCTTGCAGTTCAAACTGACCTTCTAGCCAAGTTCATTAACCCACAGTGTCACAACAGGACTCTTTAAATACCTAGTAATGCTGAGCACTGGTAGCATAGTGGTTACGAATCGGGCTGTGAACCTCATGGTCAGCAGTTTGAAACTACCAGCTGTTCCGCGGGAGAAAGATGAGGCTTTCTGCTCCCGTAAAGATTTACAACCTCGGAAACCCTGTACAGGGTCGCTATGAGTTGGAACCGACTCCACGGCACATAACAACAACAACAACAACAATTCTGAGCAGTCACTTAACTGTGTGCTTGACAATGCACTTTCTGTTGAAAGTCACAGTGAGGACTTTGCCAACCTTGGAGCTTTTCCCTAGCTGCAATGTAGAGATTTAACTAATTGACAGCCTTCCTCGCTCAAGAACACCCCCACTAGAATAGATAGCATCAAATCATTGCATTACTGATTGTGATTTAAGGGCAATCATTCATTCCTGTACTTATTTATTCGCTCAATAGTCATAGCGCATTTGCCGTGTGTCCATCTTTGGTCCCAGTGCTGAGATGCTGTAGTTGGATGGGGTGGATAGCAGATGACAGTTCTTGTCCTCATCTAATGCATGACCCTTCCTAAACTGCTGTCTGAGTTCCCATTAGACTCATTCCTTTAAAGGATTAGCATTGATTCATGTTTAAGATGGGTTTCTGGAGCCAGGCAGTCCAGGTTCAAATCTCGCTTTTACTAGCTCTGTAAGGAGCTCTGGTAGCGTAGTGGTTACAAATCAGGCTGTGAACCTCAGGGACAGCAGTTCGAAACTACCAGCTGTTCTGCGGGAGAAAGACGAGGGCTTCTGCTCCATAAAGATTTACAGCCTCGGAAACCCTGTACAGGGTCACTATGAGTTGGAACCGACTCCAGAGCACATAACAACAATAACAACATCCATAGAACACTTACACATTGTCTGATAAACAAAGGATAACATAAGTGTTTGTTTTATTTATCCATGCATGATAGCATCGTTTGCAGTTAGTGGGATATTGGGACTATCTTAAGTATCTACTGGTAAGGGAATGTTTAGCTAAAATTCTCACACTGAACATACTACACAGCCCCTCACTAAGTAACCAAGTGTGCTCACTCTGTGAGTCTGTAAACATCAGTGTAGGAATCTTAAACATCATTACTTTGATATAGTTCTCCTCCCCATTCCTAGAAAACTGAGGAAAAGGGGCAGTGGATTCCTAAAATAGTGTTTTTCTTCGTGTTATCTTGCTGCCCTCTTTATAAATTGATTTGCTTTACGGGGGTGGGAGGGAAAGAGTGGTATGAAGGAGAGACTTTTGAAGACCTTGCTTGTAAATTATAAGCAGTCGTGTTGGAGCTGAAAAAAGAATGAATATAATAATCCCAAAGCATATTTTCAGTATCTTCCCAGTTAGAAGCTAAAACTAAAAAGAAAACATGGCTAATATTGGTGAAGTAGGGAGTTAAATCAGTAGTTAAAGAGATAAGATACTTGGATTCAACTTCAACTGGGTTATTTAAATATCAAACCTAAAATGGAATGAGAATAAATGAAAATATAATTTGGTTACCATGGTATCAAGTGGGGGGAGAAAAAAGGGGACCCAAAATAGCCCCAAACTGTATCAGACAATCCAGATAGAATGAATAGGTATAGGAGCTTGTATAAAGCTAGGCTTCAATCCTCTGGAGTCCTGATGGGTCAGGGCCACATTCAGGAACTGCCTGTGATTTCCTATGGTGACACAGGGAAAGGAAACAGAGCTCCTGAACACATGGACTCAATGATGCAACGAGGTTATGTAACTAAGTCTCTAAGTCCATGAACTGGATCCCAAGGCAATACGCAAGACAGATCTGGTCATTGCTAAGTGCACAGGGTGTTCTGAGTATAGTATACACCTGCTTTCAAGTCCTAACCCTACCACCTACCCTCTGTGTGTGGTCTCAATAATGTACTTGTCTTAGTGCTGCAAAGTCCAAATTCAGAACACCAACTCTAAAGAAAGATTTTCTGTCTTTGTCAGCTTTGGGGAAACGTCCATATCTCCTTTCCACATCTGTAGGCCCGGTGTTCCTTGGAGATCTCTATGCATCTTGGCATCAGTTTTTCCCTAGATCTAGGAGTTCACAGTGTAGAGACCCAGGTCCAAAGGACAGAATCTGCTGCTGGATTTTCTTTCTTGGTGGTAGTAGGTCATCTTCTGCTTGCTTGTTTAATCTCTTATATCTCAAAAGAGATTGATTCAACATACAACTTAATCCCATAGATTGCACCTGGTCTCATTAACATAGAAGTGAGGAGTTACAACCCAGGATCATTACATCAGATCAGAGCTGATCACATCCAATTACATCATGGGGTGATTACATCATACTAGATCTCATCATGGAGGTGATAGCTACACCTTAACTGCTAAACCACTGAGCATCTTGGTCCAGCCAAGTTGACACAAAATGTATCACACTAAGTAAACTTTCTGAGTCTCAGTTATTTCTTTATCTGTAAAATGGAAATGATACTTCACCAGTCTTCAGACAGCTGGTGCAGCCACCCCAGTATCACCCACTGCCCCCAACCATGGCCTGCGGTCTGGTCACCAGCAACCTGAATCTCAAACCCAGGGAGTGTCTCCGAGTGTGGAGTGAGGTGGCCCCTGACACAAGAGCTTCATGCGGAACCTGGGCAAAGACACCAACAAACTGTGCCTGCACCTCAACCCCCGCTTCGATGCCCATGGGATCATCAACACCATCGTGTGTAACAGCAAGGATGCTGAGCAGCGGGAGACGACTTTCCCCTTCCAGCCTGGCGGTGTCTCAGGTGTGCATCTCCTGTGACCAGACTGACCTGAGCATCAAGCTGCCGTATGGCTATATGTTCAAGTTCCCCAACTGCCTGAACCTGGAGAATATCAACTTCCTGGAAGCTGATGGCAACTTCAAGATCAAGTACATGACCTTTGACTGAAGTCAGCTGTATGCCTTTGGACCCGGTCCTCAATAAAGGCAGCTGCCTCTCATCCACACCCACCCCTCACCACCACCACCACCCCCCAAAAAAAAAATGGAAACGATACTGCCTGGCTCGTACGTTTCACACACTGCCGTTGAGTTAATGCTGACTCACAGCAAACAGATAGGACAGAGTAGAAGTGAGCCTTAGGGTTTTCAGGACTAAGTCTTTACAAGAGCAGAAAACAGTATCTTCTTTCTCCCATGGAGCAACTGTTAGATTGGAATCACCAAGCTTGTGTGTTTAGCAGCCCAGTGCTTAACTACACCACCAGGGTTCATCTATAGGTTCTAGTATAGCAGAAATGAAATGAAATAATGAAATAACACACTGATATATAAAGTACTTATTACTCAGTATAGTAAATTTCATACTTAAAGGCAGCTTTTCAAATACCTTTGAAGATAGAGTAATAAGAGGAGTGTTTAAAAGACCGATGAACTTTAGGAATGGTTTCATCAGATAAAACTAGAAAGCATGTATTATGTTTTAGTATGCTAAAGTAAGATATCCTATATCTTCTCTGGACTCCTGGTGTGGCACTGCAGGATAAGTATTGGACTGCAAACCATAAGATCAGCAGTTCAAACCCACCAGCTGCTCCTCAGACACCCTGCATGGGGTTGCTGTGATTTGGGACTGACTCAGTGGCACTTAACAACAACAGTATATCTACTGTATGGATCTGCAAAGACTGTATTTTATTGACTGTGCATAGGCATTGGACTGTGTGGATCATAACAAATGATGGATCACATTGTGATGAACAGGAATTCCAGAACTTTTCACTGTGCTCATGCAGAACCTGTACATAGACCAAGAGGCAGGTGTTCAAACAGAACAAGGGGATGGGTACTACATGCTTTAAAATCAGAAAAAATGGGCCTCTGGGGTGTATCCTTTCACCATACTTAATCAGTCTGTATGCTGAGCACATAATCCAAGAAGCTGGACTAGATGAAGAATAACGTAGCATCAGCCTATGGTATAGACGACACAACCTTGCTTGAAGAATGGGAAAAGGACTTGAAGCACTTATTGAATGAAGATTAAAGACTATAGCCGTCAGTGTGTATTACCCTCAACATAAAAATCGTCACAGAACCAACAAGCAACAACATGATAAACGGAGAGATCATTGAAGTTGCCAAGGAATTTATTTTACTTGAGTCCATAATCAAGGCCCATGGAAGCATCAGTCAAGAAACCAAACTGCTATTGTAATGAACAAATCCGTTGCAAAAGACCTCTTTAACAAGCAAAGATGACTCTTTGAGGAATAAAACTAAGGTGTGCTTAACCCAAGCCATGGTATTTTCGTTTGCCTCATGTGTATGCAAGATCTGGATAATGAGTAAGGAAGACTGAGAAAGAATGGATATATTTGAATTATGGTATTGGCAAATGATATTGAAAGTACCGTGGAAAGCCAGAAAACTATATTGTAAGAAGTAAAACGAAAACGCTGCTTAGATGCTAGAAGGGAGGGTGGCAAGACTTCATCTCCTGTACTGAAAAAGACTTTCCTTTTTCATTTGTATAGTAGAAGCATAGGGGTAAGAATTAAGACAATACATGTTAATTTTTAGAACTGTACTTGGCAGGTATCAGGAATTTAGCAGGAGAAAGATGAAGCTTTCTTCTACTTTAAAGATTTATAGCCT